GACGAGGATGATGGTAATACGCCGGACGAGAGGGCGAGCGCTGGATGGATGAAAGGGACGGCTGCAGCATCGTTGGCATGTGCAGCCCTTCCTCCTCTAGCTGGCTGTACGGAAGATCGCGCAGCTGCTGCCATCGCGCTCGCGGCGGGTCCAGGTTGAGGGTGAAGGGATGAGCCCTGTCTCTGGCGAGCACCTCCACGCTGGACGGAGCGCGTGGGCGTTGGAGGCATCTCGACTACGCGCTTCCTAGCCGCAGCGGCTGAAAGGAGCGATCGGAAAAGGTCGTAAAGCTTGGGTCAGGGAAGGTGCATGCTGGAGCCGTGCGTAGAAGTCGCAAAGCGAGGAGATGATGTCGCAAAGGAGGCAAGCGTGAGCCTGATTTGATGTCCAAGGGACAAGATGATGGTTTCGCGAAGGTGTTCTTTGTACCTTAGCGCAACTGCGTGACAACTTCGGAATTCGGCCTTGCTGTCCTTTATTTCGGACGGGAGAAATGGAGCCAGCACAATGACGCTTGCGCGCACAGCTCGCACGACCCTTTGCACTAAATTGCGTCTAAAAAAACTCAGCCACAAAGCTAAGCGCGCACGCCTACAATCGCAACCAGGGAAATAAAAAAAAAAAAAACCAAAAAAAGTGACTTTCAGGGTCCACCTCTCTGATAACGCATGCAACCCTGCATATGGGGCCAGATTGCACTCGGGACCAACACTCAGACCTAGCCGATCTTGCACTCCAGTCACTGTCCCTTGCAAAGGGTTACGAGCTCCTATCACGACTCGGCATGCCTTCAGTTGTCTTTGCTGTGACAGTGTGAATGAGCTCGAGTAGAAGCGAGCGAGAGCGGAGGGGTGATGTGTGATTCTCCCTATCAGCAACAGATACTGAAAGACTGCTCTGTCACTCCGCTTGCAAGAGGTACACACTCCAGTGCGGCACGGCTGGAGTTGGTCCAAGCGTTGTGATTAGCTTTTCGACAGATGTGTGAGCTACAGTGCAGGATCGGAGGATCGGCTACGCCGCCGCTCGACTTCACTGTACATGATGCGACAGAGAAAGGGCCCCTGTCCCCAAAAAGGCTGAGTCGAGCGCACACGTAACGCTCCCGCTTCCTCTCTTCTGCCCACCATATAACACCACCATCTCGACCCACACTTACGTCACATCTGTCCCCATCCCGACACCTCGCTCAATACTTTGCAGCCATATCCTCTCAGCGACATTTCAGTCGTCCAGTCACCGTCGGTATCTCCATCTTTCCACGCCTTGCACTGTTGGACAACGTTATTTGAGGTCCAATGACACCACTTAGCGCTATCCCGGGCCTCGAGCTCGTCTGGGTCAACGCCTCTCCCACCGGTCCCATCGCCAATGACAACAAAGATCCAAGTCTGCATCAGATCCTGCGCATTCAAGCTGGGCGGGTCAAGACCATCGCTCGATCGAGCTCACCGACAAGGACCGTGCTGGTCAACGATCTTTCGACTCATATTTACTTCCCTCTGGCCAAGGTAGTCTCGCGCGAGCATGCAACCATTGAATGGCTGCACGACGAGCCTATTGTTCGAGACAGAGGCGCTACTCACGGCACTCATGTTGCCCATCGCCAGGCCCTTTTTGCCACCGACGGCACTGTGTACGAGATCCAACCTTCCGCTCCCCTCCAGCCCGTCGAAGGGATTCTTCCACTGCGACACGGAGACCTGATCGAGTTCGGAAAGACCTGTAGTCGCTCTAACGAGAGCTACAATCCCGTCCGTTGCTACGTACGATTCCTCTCGGCAGCTCCACCCAGCTCGTCAGCATCACTCGTACCTACGAAGCCGTTCAGCCTCATCGACGACCCACTCGACTCAGAGTCCGACATAGTCAGTATCGACGCCGACTCTTTCAGAGCCTCTACTTCAGCTCCTCTTGGTCTTCAATCGACTCTGGACACCCTGTCCTCGATGCAGATGCAGACCGACATTGTTGATCTAACGAGCGATGATGACGAGGAACCTCACTCTCCACCATCCGACTCGAGTCTGGAGTCTGATGGCTCGGAGCTCGATGGCAAGGACTCGGATGATAGCCATTTCGACAGCGACCTTGAGGAAAGCATCGATTCATTTGGCCATCGCGAGGTGCTCTGGTGCCGTGAGATCGAGGAGGCGTCACTTGAGCGAGCCGAGCTCGACTCCGAAGCCATCGAAGCTCGCATGCAAGGCGAAGGGTACTTGAAGAGCTACAAGACTCGATGTGGACTCACGGCAGATTCCCCCAACACTTCTATCAATAGCGAAACATCCAACCTTGAAATCTCGAATCCCGATCCTTCTCCCGCCATCAATACGTCTGATACTGAGCAAGACTTCAGCGGAGACATCTCGCCCACGGACGACGTCAAAGAGCTAGCGAACATTACAAGGCTCGCGAGTTCGCCTCCACCCATCGCGGCGCCACTTGCGGATCTTGCTGACAAACCTGATCAGTCCTCGACTACAGAGAATCCGATTATTCCCGCTTCCGTGGCTGTCGACTTGCCCTCGGTGACGGACCAAGATCCAGCAAAGAAGCGCAAGATGGATGATGTTCAAGAAGCTGAGCCGGCTGAGGATATGAGTGAGTCCGACTCTGGCTCGGAAGCTTCATCCTCCTCAGCATCCGAGTCGTTGACCTCGTCTGTCTCAACTTCGAGCTCGCCCTCACCTCCCAAGAAGAGGCGAATCACTCACCTTCATCACGGCGGCGACGAGCGCAGAGCTCCTCTCCGTGGCCGCACGATCAAGAAGCTGGTTGCGAAGGCAATGTATGCTACAAGTCTTCTTTCATTAGGTTTCCTGACCGGGTCTCTATTCACCTTCAAGAGCATGATGAATGCTGCCGCTGCCGCCAATGCTGCCGGCAAGCAGTAGAGCTCCCTCTTTCATAACCGATGAATCCACAGCTGTCGCCATGTGTACGCTTCGTCTCCTCCTTGTCGGCTCCTGTTCGCCTGCTTGTATCGATCATAGTCCATGTCATCCCTGTCCGCGCTTCACTCGTGGCACATTCGCCATCGAAAGAACATTCTGTTCCATAGTTCTCCTTTCCAGTCCACCCAATGCAAGTGTTTGATCCTCGACATGCAGGCGATCGAAGAGCGAGAGTTCATCAGGGCGAGACTCAAATCATGAACAACTTCCATTGGCTTCCGGACAGCGTCGACGGCATGTCCGGCGTACTCGTGTGGCCAGGTCGACACTGACAGTACCCACTCTGCAAATTCATTCAGCATGCTCGTGCGCGGAGTTAGCCCCCTTGCTCGTATCACTTTCTTTGTGCAGAGGCCACTTCACCCGTGAACGCTTCCGAACAGCAGCAAGATCTTCACACGCGCGCTTCAAGTTCTCTCAACGTTGACTGTTTGGGGTCTGCTGGCGTGCTATGGTGACAACAGAAGCCACAGAGGGAAGACGGCGTTGCAGTCTCGAAGAATTCGTACCAGGGGGTGCAGCATGGATTGAGCCGATAGCAACTCTTCCACCGCTCTACTGAGTATACTCTTCATCGTCCTCTTCGTCACGAAATGCCCGTTCAATCATTTTGAGCTTTGGGTTGGATTTCTTGGCCATCAAGCATAGCTTTGTAACTTTCGAATGAATACTTTCGAGAGCCCTCATCATGTTGTGAATATCATGCTTGTCAGGAAGGTCGGACGCCTCCCACTCCCATTTCATCCATTTGTCGTGGAAGCTGGTGTAGTAGAACGCTTCCATGAGGCCTTCGAGGATCTTGGGGTGGATCGGATCGTTGCATTCAGGCACTTGACTTTCGGGCGTAGCAACAGTGGCAGTCGGGCCAGGGGCAGCGATGACAGCAGCCTCGGCTTCGGGCTGAGAAGGGTTAGCGGTGGTGTTAGAAGCACTGTCGTTGGAGGATGACATCTTGAGCTCGTGAAGAGGTTGATTAGCGGATTAATGTGGCGATGGAGATATCTGAGATGCGCGAGCTACGAGGAAGTGCAAGGAGCCGTGGGCAAGATATACGAGGAGTTGCGAGGAGGAGATAGATCGGTAAGCTTGAAGAGTGATGTCGAGGAAGGGAGGGACGATCCGTCTCAGTTGCCGCCTGTCTCGTTATATCCCTTTTCGGTCTCTGACTACTGTGTTTTGCCACACGATTGCTGCGCCCGTTCTTTGTGTGCAAGACTGTGCTGAGTTGAGAGGCCTCGAGTCGCGTGCTGAGTCGCGTTTCTCGGGGCGGATGGGCCGGAAGAAGAACTGAGCCTTTACAGGTACAAACCAGAGGAAAAGTAGGGAGCGACACCGATCTGCACGCTCAGCTTTCCCGTCCCGATGGTGCAACAGGAAAAATGAGCTCACCGAAAATGACGAGGCACGTGGTGGGACCCACTGCATTCTCAATCTTCACCCGCATCCCTTCTCTGAGCCGGAGCCGAACAACGACGACGAGCGGTGATGTCCATATCGCCAGCTTTTGCACACCTCTTACTGAGCACTGAATTCGCTTCGAGAGGCATGACACCGAGCCCAAACCTCGCAACAGTTTTGAGCCCGATCGAGTAAATGAAAGGATAACTTTTCGTCAAGACACCGGGAGGTGCATCTTCAACCGGCATTTGCAATTCTGCAGCCTCATCGAGGATCAGCGCATTGATCTTCATCCTAAATACAGAGAGTCTTGCGGTGCAGACCAGGTGTGAAAGCCGAATGCAGGTGAATCCGATTTTGGTGGAGCGGGCCACGGTCGCTATGCATCAGTTTCAGCCACAACCAAATACGGCTGGCAGTGTAACGCCAGGACACCGAACGGCCCGAATTTCAGCACCAATTCACAGCTACCTCGAAGCTGTTAAATAACCTACCCTATCGCTTGGTACAACCCACTATTCAATGTCTCGATGCATCCAGGAAGCCCACTTGTGTGAGATGAAGGAGGTGGATCAGGCAAATTGATTCTTTTCAGTATATGTTTGCTACTGCAATTGCAACCGAGTATAAGGGTAGAGCATCTCCGGGGTTGTAGCTCAGTGGTAGAGCGTCTCGTTTGCATTAAAACGAGCAGCAAAGTTTCGAGAAGGTCTGGGGTTCAATCCCCCACGTCTCCAAGTATCTTTTTTTCGACTTAAGGTGGGTTTTTTTTGGCGCTTTTTGACATGACAATTTCTGCCTGCATTGCTGAGTTATGTCCCAAACTCGACAACCAAGAAATCATGCTTCGATATCGATGTTGTTGATCAGGGCATACTGACAGCTTCACAGATAGCTATGATGTTGGTTCTGGCTTGATGCACCATTCGCTGCTCTCATAAATGCAATTTCGTCCGATATGCTGTCACGGCTCCAGTGAGGAACATTTTTCTTAACGCAGCCCCACGAGCTCATGACAGAAAATGCATCCGAACCTTTCTTCGGGACAAAGCTTGGGGCAAAGCATGAATCTCAAACAGCTTCTTGCAGTAGCTTCACCGTGACGGAGACACACGGGCGGATTTCACTGGATACATCATTCTACCCGCTAATCGCTGCACAACGACCACGGCAGGGGCTTCGGCTTCACACTTCACAGAGACACCCGTTCAAGAATCGAATCTCGCCATCGCTGGCTCCCCAGCAGGATGGTGCAACTCTTTTGATCGTGCGCCAATCATCGAAGCAATTTGTTCTATATGCAAAACCAGTATCTCATCGTTGTGCTGGAGTCAGGTCAAGCCTCTTGAACTTGATACTTGGTCCAAAATCTGGCTGCGAAAAGACGCGTTGCGCAAAATGAATCGTAAACCACGTTCATCCGTCTCAGAAGAGCAGAACGCATAAGTTCCTTTCAAATCAGCCTTCATTATGACCAGCGCCATCCCTCTACAATAGCTAGATCAGTGATGAACTACTGCTCAGGTTGAGACGGCTCCGCATCGGAACGGGCTTGCATCATAGGACCTGTTTTTGGACCGCATCAGATTCTGACTCCTGAATTGGGTTGCATGAATTAGCTGTGCTTTGAGCTGGAGCCTTTCGTTGGTCCGTCTAACAGCGCAGTGTCTCTGCTTTTTGACTACACTGTCTGGGACTTGCGCAGAGTTGTAGCGCGGAATGCTCAGTGCAAGCTAAGGATTGCAGCGCAACCTGAACGCGAAGCCTAACATCTCCTTAGATCCCGCGCCGTCGACTGACCGAGCGCATCCCGAAAAGTCAAAAAGCTTTCTGTTCCAGCTCGGCGCAAATGCGCCTGACAGCAAGCGGATATACACCATGAGATCACAGCACCACCGCTGAAGGCTTCAATTCGCTCCTCACTTTGCTCAGTCGTACCCTGAGGTAAAAGCTAGGATCGGACTTGGCCGAGCTGGCGATAGGATCACAGCGTCAGAGAGAGCCCGACCAAGGCGACAAGTGATGTCGTCTGATGAGGATGCGCTCCTTCTTGGGTCACGAAATGCGAAAAACCGCAAATGAAGTCACCCGGCTCTTCCAAAAGGGACTGCATACATGTGGATGCGCTACATTACGGCTGTGGCCCCGTGCACAAAGTGGACGCTTGGGCCGTTTTGTCCTCCTTTTCGCACTGCAAATCGATGAGACGTACGACACACACACACACACACACACACACACACACACACACACACACACACACACACACACACACAAAAGACGGGCAATAGGGCGATTCACCCAACGCATTGTTCTTGGCTGAGGTGTCCGATAACAAGCTGAGCCGTGCGCCCAGGCTACCAAGATGGTATAAGTACATCGCTTTGCAGGGTTTCGACCTCTCCCAATCTACTCATACAGGCTGGCATCTTCGGGCCGGTGTCCTTCTCAAACCAGCCTCGTCTAATCTTGTCCCACGACACGCAGAGCTCCTCTTAAAACGACTGCGCACCCATCTTTGGTGCGCCGACCGCATCTAGGACATCAAAATGGAGGAAGACTTCGAGTATCGCCTGGTGAGCTCGCATGGCTCCGGTCCGACAATCATGGCCGGTGAAGATCTGCACGTTGAGGTTGAACCTACCGGTATCCCTCCCGGCGGTGTCCGATGGCAGTTCTCGACGCGCTACCGAGTCAGCAAGTCGAGTTACCGGGATGTCTTGCTTCAGAGCATCCTCAACATGTGCAAAGAACACCGTCTCACTCCGCTCGAGATCAGGCATCCTATTCCCAAATGCGGCACACAATTCGTCGACGTTATCTTTGCCAACGACGAAGAAGTGATCAAGGTCTACGATGGGGACATCACTTTTGACTTTTATGGCACGAAGCCGGAGCTCGTTGACCGCGCCATGCCCAACCGCAAGCATGTGGCTCTGTGCATCCAGATGCTGCCCTCCGACTCTGATATGCAAGAGGTACTCAGAGCGCTTCAAGAAAATGGAAGAATACGCAAGGCTGGCAAGATCGTGGATGTGTGGTCGATGCACTGCTCCGGTTCCGGCCGCTTCAATGGAAAGGTGCTTGTGCTGCTGGAACTGCACACTCAAAAGGGCGCTGTAACTCTTGAGGCGCGCGCCTCCATTCCTGGTTGGTTCGTCTTTCGGAACATCGCCTATCTTGTCCGCTACGCCGATCGACCCGTTTGGTGCTTCAATTGTCGATACGATGAAGAGGCGCCCTTCCACAGCATGCATAACTGTCCCGTCTCGCCATGCAGCTGCTGCAAGAAGAAAGACCACACTTCGGTACGATGCCCTAAACGTCAGGCACAGGTCGCAAGAAGGCCGCGAAACAGCAATAAGCACGCTTTGTCAAGTGAGGATGAGGATGACGGAGACAACGAGGATTCGCCGGGGAGAGCATCGGTGATTGATCGAGCCTCGATGCAGCGACGATTCGCCGAGCTTGGTATTCGAGATCGTAGCGCAGAGGCGGAAGAGCTTGCTCGCGACTTTGGCGTTCTGGCTCTTTCCGAGAGCGACATTGGCAACTAGTGGCATCGCGCACAGATCTGGCTGATCTCTCAAATGGGCAAAGGAACACAGAGCTTGATCAAGCGGTGCATTGCCTGTCATGCTACGCTTTATCATGGCAGTAATGAAATCGGTCTAGGGTCCTAGTATGTTTGTGGGCTTTCCTGCAGTGCTGCCATTTGATGCTTGACGTGGAGCGAGAGCTCGTCGGCCGAAGGATAGGATTTCTGGATGAACGGATCTGATGCTGGGCTGCCCTTGGATGTCTCGATGCCTTTGTTGACCGCTATTGACGTGAGCGCAGAGCGAGTCCGCGCTGATGACCTGGAGAGCGGAGTTGGGGAGGCGGTAGTGCTGTTGGGATCGGTCGGAAGCCGTTTCGGCGGCTTCTTGGAGCTGTTTCTCTCTGGCGCGATGATGTTGCCAACTGACAGCCTTGAAAACTGTTCAGCGTCCAGCACATGATCTAGCATATCGCCCATTTGGAGAGACCGCGAGTTGGGAAGAGGCGAGGTCGAATGAGTCTCCTGCCGGAGCGGTGTGTGATCAATCTTGCCAAAGACGTCCTCGTCACCACTGCCGGATGCAGTGGGAGTACGTGCCTCGTTCTGCAGACTGCCAGATGCGATCGGTGAGACAAGGTCGAGCTTGGATGAATTTTGGGATGTTGTGGGTGTGTCGTGGAACAGTCGCCGCGAAGACGGCTGATGGAAGGGGCTGCTTTCAATGCTGCTGGTGCTGGTGCTTGTGCTGAGTTCCATGAGGATGGGCTGCTGCATGGCTTGAGATGTGGAAATTGATGCTTTGCGCAGAGGCGGTGATATTGATGCTTGCTTGGTGGTAGGAGCGCGTGACGACGAGGCGATGATCGATGGTGGTGATTCGAGCGAGCTCTCATTCATGCCATGGTACAAGGCGTTGAATGCTTCGGACGATCTGCTGGTGTTGTGAGGGGATAAGGAAGATGTTCGCACGGTGTTGTTCATCTTGTCGGATGTCACGAAATGTCCATGTGATGCTAGTGACTGTCGATGGAGATCTGTCGTAGATCGCAGTTGGTACCCTTGCGATTTCTCCTGTTCTTGTCGGTCGGATGCTTTCCGAGCTAAAGTCGAGCGTGTTGTTGATAAGGATCGGCAGAGTGGCGGCAAGGCATGTGCTGTCAAATGTGCGAAGGTTGGTCGAGAGGAAGAAAGGATCAAGCCATGGACGGAAGTGCCGAAGGCGAGTTAACGTAGTTGAGCAACCGATCGAACGCTAGACCGACTTGACCGACTAGCTTGTGTGCATGTCAGGCAGGCACACTTCAGCTCGAGTGCCAAGTGCGGTCTTGTGAGCAATTCGAAGACAAAGGGGTGATTCAGCAGCAGGGATGCTACTCTGCAACTTACAGCACATTAGGTTACAGAACGGTTTCCGGTGGCATGCAGGGTTCACAGTGTCAGTTCAAGAGGTTCGGTGTTGGCTGCAAGCGTGCAGGTGGGATGAGAGCACCTCTTTTTCGGCTGCGATCAAACGAGCGAGCTACAATTTGTAGTTTGCCTTGCCCAGCAACGGACATGACAGCCAGCCCTTTTTCCGAGAGAACGAGACCAACACCTGCAAACAAAGCAACACGCGAACTCCTCTTCGTGACTGCAGCAGCAGGAACGATTTTTATGCAAGTCTTGCGGATCAGGCGCGGCGCGTGCTTTGTGTTGTTCGCTCACCTCCGAGAGAGCCTGCACGGCGCAAACTCTCAGGAAGAGGCGCGCATGCTTGTGTGTGTGTGTGTGTGTTTTTTTTTTTTTTGGATGAATCGCGATTAAGCTACCGATCCCGATGGACGTCCATCAAGTTTCTGCAAGCCGCATAGGGCTGGACCCTGAATCCAGCCAAGCCTTTCTTCTCGCGGTCGCCTACGAAAACAGTCGCAACCTACCATCCGCCCTTGATGCTGCTGCTGACTGGTCCCTAGTCAGGGTAGCTACTCACACATGAAGACACACTTTGAGGCGGATGTGGATGATCCCTTCCTGCTGCTCCTCCGCAGACGAGCGATTCAATCACGCGAGCAGCAGGGGATCCCATTTGCACAGGGAGATGCAGCGCAAGATTGGCCAGTGCGCCTGACCAAACCGCCTACCGCTCACGAGTTCAGGCAGATCATAGAGGAGCATGTACCGGTGCTCATCGATGGCTGTATGACCGATCGTCCGTGT